CCAATCACTTCTGATGAGGTTAGAAAAGCAGCAGAATTCTACCAGGCCCAGGGCTCCCACACACCCACTTTCCCATTTTGCCCACAGTGCAGTCACCTCCCTTGTTTTCCCCATCTTTTCTCTGCCTCAGGTTCCCCACCCACCTAACCCTCCACTCTCCATCCACCTATAGCCACGGGGATGTTTTTCAGTGTACATTGGAGCAGGTCCATCAGTACCTCTAGTGGCTTCCTCAGTGCTCTTCAACCTGCTGTTCATCTCCTCAGCCCGGCCTGCAGGGCTTCATCCCTCTGGAAGCTGCACTTGGAATCTATTCTAGCCCTCTGGTCTGATAAATCATGTCGTGCTATGTGACCCCCACACCCGGGCAGATCTGTTAGCGCTGCAGTCATCACCTCTACCCCTTTCTCGCCGCTCTGACACCCTTTAGTCTCAGGTTGGCCTCCCTTACTCACTCCAGCTACACTTCCCTCTGCTGTAACACCTACTCTTGTCATATTTAAATCCTTACTGCCTTTTCCATCTAGACTTTAACTGCTTTTCCCCTTTGAACTCCAGAGTGGTAGGGCAAGGTCCATTTTGTTTGCAGTCTGTCTGACAGGGTCCAGCCGTGGCTTCTCGAAGGCTATTGGTACTAAGGAAGGCCTTGCCAGGGGAGCAGGAGAGGAGCTGGCAGGGCTGGCGCAGGGCGATGCTTCATTGGCTGCTAAGATACAGCCATGGGGGTCTCTCCAGAACGTGGGTAGAGTATCAGCTTCTCAGAGTCTGAACAAAGGGTGTTCAGAGAACAGAACAGTGCTAGGATGGTCTCTCTACAGTCTCAGAATTGAGTTCTTCTAGGCGGGCCCCCACCATTAGTCTCACTTTTCTGCTCTAGCACCTGATTTATTTTTGTCCATTTGAAAATAAGCCATCCTTAGGTTGGATTTCAGTTTCAGGTTTTGCAAAATGTGGGTGTGGACCTAGAAAAGGTAAGTCTCAGCAAGGCTTTTGTTCTTACAAGTCTGAACTCTCTAGACATGATGGCATCACAGAGGACCCCACAGAGCTGATGGTGGACCAGTACTGCCACTGTGCCTGCGGCCACACCACAGGACACACCAACTTTGGGCTGTTGGATCATAGGCACAGCAATTCAAATTATTTCCCTCTTCTTTCGCTCTTACAACAAAGTTGCATCAGTGGGTGTTGATAGAAGCTTTGAATTCTCCCCAGCATAGTTCATACAGCTGCAGGGCTACTTAAGTACAAGTATGTTACACAAAGAGGTCACATATCTACTCATAAGGACTTTAAGAAGGTGAAAGAAATGAAGTGATCTAAATAAAACGTTCCTCTTTTATTTCTTATTTCAATGTTAAATAATATTTAAAATCTTACCTTTTCTTTGGGAGCATTCGAAATTGGCCCCCCAAAGTCAGACAGTCCTTTGTTTCTGTAGGGAGTTTTGAATATCTGACAAGTAGGAATAAGGTAGTGGTCTTTCAAACTGGCGTCTTGCTCCTGGCCAGACTCACCTAAATTAATGGCCCAATTTTGCTGTCTTCCTAAGAGGAATGGTTTTTTCTAGCTGGAGGGAATTGAAATCAGTGTTGAATACAAGGCATATGCTGGGGGATGGATAGCGAGAAAGACAAGGCTTGGCTCTCTGTGGAGGGACGTCTGTGGAAGATGCTAGAGAGATTTTGAAGTTACTGCGAGCTGAGATGGAAAAGGTCAGGAGAACCTCTTCTAAAAGTGACTCCAAATATATTGGGATAAATACTTTAAAAAATACAAAGTAGGTCACTAGGAAAAGTATATAAAACAATGAGTATAGCAATCCTATTATTCAAAATCCTTCACCGCACACTTGCCATCATTTGTCCTCTGTCACGTTTATATTACTGCTGGTAATTTAAAGTGCTCTTTCATATCAATGACTAGCCAACATTTTAAATGAGCTCGTTATCTTTAATATCAAAATTTTTGGAATGGATTTTCTTTGCTAACTCAAGAAACATAAGCCAGGCGATAGCAGGGCTGGAATCTATTGGTGTTTTAGAGCTTACAATCAGTTTTTAGCATCTACAAAATAGTTTAAGGTTTAGTTTTCTGACAATTCAGTTACTTTTCCACCTACACTAAGGCTATCACAGTGACATCAGCAAAAGCTTGGATGGCAGCTTAACACCAAAGCGAAACTCAAATCTCACTTTTTTCAGGCACAAGGAAATTTACAAACTTGCCTAGCTTCCTACAGGTTTTATTGACACAACTCATTAGAAAAATCTATTTTTTTAAATTCACAACTGAATTCCATGTGATTCACTTTTAGTACACCACAGGAGGCTTTTCTTCTTTGCTAAAAATGTTGGTATTTAGTATTGGGAACTAGTCGACTCTAACCATTCTGATAATGAAAGCTAAACCACTAAGACTGCAATTCCCTTTTGAGGAATATTCATTTCTAGTCAATAAAAGCTGTGTGGGTATGTTTCATGAATAGTCCTTCCCAGCTTATTTCAGTCTTGTTGGTTGAAGGGGAACACAGACAAATACCCTGTATCGAGAACACAAATCCACCTGTCTAAAATGACCTTGAGAAGTAGGAATGGAGAGAATAAAGATCAAAAGGTTAGGTCAGGGTGACCGCCCTCCAAGGGAGGGGACGGATGGGGGCATTTTGGGGTGACTTCTATGTACTGGGATCTGCCTCCTGTTTGTGTTCTAGTCCAAGAGCTGAATGTGGGTCATTTCAGCGCCTTCAGGGAGGACCAGAGCCTGGGAAGAGGCGCTGGTCCCACGGGTAGCAAACACAGGGTCCTTTGTTTCAGGGGAGCATTTTGTTACCGTGTGTGAATGAAAGGGAGGTCACAGTTCTTGCTTGCTACGCAAGGGACTAAAAGCTTACTTCATTCTAAAGGGAATTCTGCAAAAGCACAGGAACCAGCCTTTTCTTCTTTCTCAATGGACTGAACTGAAGTGTCCCAAGGAAAGGAAGAAAAAATAACTCACACTTGGCTGTAAACCTGCCGAGGAGGAGAATGTTGCCATTTCTTAACCTTCCTACAGGGCTGGTCTAAAAGGTTCTTGTGAGGAAGTAATGCAGCAAATACAGTAATTCCTTTGATATAAGTCCCAAAGTGCTGGGAGTAGAATGTAACTAAAACAAAGTGGTCCTCGCTTTTAAAAATCTTTAATAACCTGGGGTAACTAGGGAATGAGCACTATTTTCTTTTGTAATTAAGTCCATAAATATACTGCTTGTTAATGACAAGAGGTCATTGATCAGCCTATGCAGTCCAGTCAGAATACTGGGTGACAGCTCCTCATCAAATGATGAGACCTTCCAAATTTGTGGAACTAGACATAACCAATGCATTCTTAATACACTCTAGGGAGATGAAAAAAAAAAGTGTGACACAGAAGGAGAAGTGGAGCCAGCAAGGCAACAAACACCAAGAGCACAAGAAGGCAGTTTCAGGAGACCACTGAGTTAGCTTTGCCTACAAACACGATAAATGTCATCGGTAGATATTCATCTCAGTTCCCAAAGCACCTTTTTTCTAACATTTTTGGAGACGATGCTCTTTGTAATACAAAACACAAAAGACTAGACTCACTGACATTTTCTGTGGCTCAAAGTTCCAATGGAATGCTAAAATACAGAACATGTGTAGGCTTCCTGTTACCTCAAAACCAATGATGACATCCATACAAGAGGGTTATGTGTGTGTGTATGTGTGTTTGTGTGTGTGTGCCTAAAGAGCTATGAAAAGTTGCAAGAGGCGTGGTGAAATCTCGGCCCTGGAGATTTGTCTGATGACACAGTAAAGCACCTAAAAGTCTTTCCCAAGAAAATTGGATGTGGATGTGGGTGGTTTAAAGAGCAACTCTGAAGCTAGGAAGAAACTTCCCACAAATTGTTGCCAAAGTGCTAGAAGTTCTTGAAGGTAGTCTCTGGTCAACTCACATTTGCTGGAGGATTCCATAAAAGGTCTTTGTAAAGAATATGTCTCTTATTCATTTTGGGTATTTACTGCCTGCTAGTAATTAAAAGGTGAGGGGCATATGGGCAAAGCTTATAAGGATGAAAGAAAGGACAACACAGAGAAGGAGGGCTGGGATGGGGTCAGGCCGGACAGTTGAAGCTGACCTGAACTGACCAGGTGCTGGATCCTGAGCTGTACACTTCCCAGCGGCCTTCCAGGTTCAGGGACTGAGTCCACAGGTACCTATGGGGAGATGCTCACACCATTGGGGGAGTTGTCCAAGGATCAAACCCTAGCTTGTTCTTTTCTTTTAAATATAAATTCAGGCTTGTCTACATAGCCCCTGACAGACAACAGCTACAGATACGGGCTGTAGACCTGGCCTACCAGAGTCACAGGACCGTTGCGGACTATCCTCAATTTTCAAAACTAAGTCATTTAACTGATGAGACTTTTTAAAGCATTCTTCTCTTAAACCATCTTACAGAGTAGAAAGCAAAACCCACAGACAATTCTAAGACACAGAACTAGAGCAATACTGTTTTGTTACACTGGCCACTCCCAGCTGACCCCGGAGTTGAGGAGCCCCAGGAGCTGTGTGAATGCCATGACCTTGTTCTGTGGCACATGAGAACATGCTGGGAACTGGAGCTGTATTGGGGCTATAGTTAAAAACGAGTACTGAGGGGGCGACAGCTGTGGCACCAGCTGCAATGAGAGAGAAGTGAGGCACGGCAGGGAGGGAACAGGGGGCAGCAGATCTGACAGTGGGGGCTACAGGCTACAAGGATTAGGAGCGGAAGCTAGACCAAGCCTGTTCTCAGGACGGGGGCACCCAACAACTCTCCAGAAGAGTCTGCAGCTGTGTGGGATGAAGGCCCTCACAGGACAAGGCAATCCTCACTTCGTGTCCCTCATGACAGCATCCACAGTGAGGTCTCTGCCTAGTGGCAGCATCCAAAGACATTTTAGGTCAATTAATGGACTTCATTTTCTTAAAAGCAAACACACTCAAAAAATCCAGACTGTAAGAGCTCCTTTTATTTATTTATTTATTTATTTATTTTTTTTTTTAGGACCAGCGTATGAACTGGTACACACTGCCAGGGAGGCATTCAAAATTTTTTTTTATAAATAGGCAATTTATAAGACTGGAAGGATTTCATTTCAGTATTTCAGGAAACATGATTGTTTTTGGATAGGGGCTCTGGATAACAGAGGTTTTTGTCTGAAGTTTTATAAGCCACTTTAGACAGACAGTGGAACACCTTAGATTAACATTTAAGTACTTTGGAAGAGAAGTCAAAAACTGAAGAATTCATGCGTCGTCACAGCTGTAAGAAAGACAATGGCTTCTGCAGCCCAGAGCGGCTTCACAGTACTCCAAGGTCACAGGCACTGTCTTTTATGTCCCTCTGTGACCAGGACCTTCAGGATAGCTCCCCTGGTTGCTTCCTGAAAGCAGAGAGGCCACAGAGTGGGAACATGAACTTCTCCAACTCAGGCCTCATGCAGCAGTGCAGCCAAAGCAGTACCAGTGGTTTAACTACTGAGCAGTTATCCTGGAAGTGCCTCCAGCATGAAACAGAGTCAGAGAACCAGAATCAGGCACTCGGGACTGTCATCAAGGGACTGACTTCCTTCTCCTTACACTTAACTACCTGATATTCTATGTACAGTAGACATGGACAGAGTCTTTACAAATTAAATAACTTTCTTAAAATACAGTAAGACATCAAGACGTACAATTTTCTTTCAGAAGCATTTCCAATTCATTTCTCAAGATTAACTTACAAAACTTTTTGTGCAAAAACACTGATCTCAAATAAATAAGGGGGGGAAATGGGAATAGCTAAACGGGTTTTCTTTTGCCTTTTAAATTAAAAGTTAAAAACACTAGCTGCACTTTAAAGTATTTGCAGGATGAAATGCATCAAGAAGGCTATGAAAAACAGCCCTCAGAGTCCGGTGCATTTTCAAGTGAGGTTTTCTGTGTTCAAAATCCACCGTGGATACCCCCGCTGAGATCCTCCACCACGCCCTCTCTGACCAGCCTCAAGAGGAAGCTGGTCTCTGTTGTCAAATTGTGCATGGTCTGAAAGTTCATAGCAGCCATGCAGAGATTGTCAAAATAGTGCAAAGGTGTTCTTGGTTGGCTGAGGTCATATCCAAAGCCCGCCACGCTGACTTCGTCACACAGATGTGTGGCTAAGACGATGGCAATGACACCAATGGTGGGGACATTCTGTAAAGAAAGAGCAACAACAACAAAAATCTTAGCATGAGTCACTGCTTCCCAAGCACTATATAAGCAGTACACATATGCTGGCAAGTAATAAAAGCTGCACGGGTGGGAGGGGGGAGTGAAGGGGGGGATGTAATTTTCTGTATCACAAAATTCTGAAGTCTGACTTTATATCTGAGTAAGGAATCCAGACTCTAAAACATGGTCTGTGATGTGACTATTTTAATGCACCATCAAGAGGCAGCCTGGCAGGTCTTGCACCAAGTTAAGTGGTATTCTTCCTAAAACTTCTTCCTACCAGTGTTCCTATGACCAGATTGCAAAACGAATCCATTTCCTCTCACATGGCAAAGTCTACATGGGCTTCTATGGGGTGAGTGGTCACATGACCTTCCACAGTCCTTTCTGGGCTGTGGTTTCAGAGCCCATCTCTTCCTGGCTCCTGTGGATGGCTCTGCCTGAGAACAAGACTGTTCACCCTCATCTGTAGCTACCTCCCACTTAAGACCCTAGTGAAACCTGTTTTGAGTAGAACAGACTCTAGGCTTGCCTCTAAGTTTCTAGGCTGAGACTTCTAGGTGCCTCAGCCATTCAGTGACTGTGGGGAAAAAACCAAGAGATCATTTGCCAATGCTGGCAACAGACTCCCAAACTGGGGGTATGGAGACTTTCACCCACCCATCAGTGACAGGCAAATGTACACAAGTGTTACCACAAATGACCTCAACTCAGACCATCTTCTGCATGATCCTTTAAAGTTTCCCCTATGCTGATTCTGATGGGAATGCCCCTTGGTAGTGGTCTGGGATCATTATTCTTATTCCCAAATAAATGCCCCTTGATTATATCACAGCCTGATTATTTCTCTGGGGGACAGCCCTCATTTGCTTTCCTAGTAAATAACACTTCCAAGCCACTTTCATATTTATAGCTGCTAAGCCAGTTTCTGCGCCATCTCTGGGCAAATGTATTTTCAACCCAAATTAAGGGTCTTCACATCTGTGCTTTCCAGAATGTATCCTACAACACTGGTCTAGAATGCCAAATGACTTCACTATTTTGGATTCTCACTGTATCATCACTGCCTCCTATCTGCTATCTTGCAACTCACAAATCTGGAAGAGTGTCCCTGAGCTCCCTCCCAGGCTTGGGAAGAGAGAGCACACAGGGCAGAGAAGAGCAGAAAGCACCCTCTGAAGGTTGCTGCTGACCTACCAACTGATAGTCTCTCTTAGAGCTTTTCATATGCAAATGTTCTTCAGTTTTGTTTTCAAACTTTTTCCTACGTATGCATGTATACACAAATATCATAATTTTAAAACAAAAATGGGATCAGGAAAATGTTCTATAATTCAATTTTCTTACTTAATGTATAAATAGAGGGATTTTCATCATTAGTTTTTCTACATCCTTAGTAGTCATATAATACTGAATCAATTATACCATAATATGTTTAATACTCCCCAATGATGGATGGTTTTGCTTTTATTTGAAGCTGAACATTTTATCATATATTTCACGGCACTTTTAAATTTTTTCTTTTGTGAAATGTCTACCATATCACTTCCCCACTTTCTTATTGGTTCATCTTTTTCTTTCTGATTTGATCATCTCTTTGTAGTTTGAGAGTTATTTGTTCTGTTGTCTATATATATAATAAAATTTCTCCCATTTACTTTTTGTTCTATTTTATTTCTGACACTTTTGCCTCTCAACAGTCTCATTTTGTGCAATTAAGTTTATTCACTTTTTAAAAGTTCCTTGTAAAATAAAATCTACCTATAACACAAACAAATGAGCAAATTTCCCTGCATTTACAAGTACTATGCAATTTAGCAAAGCAACAGGGCAGTTTAAAAAATACAGAAATCTAAGGATATCAGGCCTCCCTGGTGGCGCAAGGGGTTAAGAACAGCACTGTTAAGCTATCTGCAGCCTCTGCAGCATGAGTTCAATCCCCAGCCCGCCAGGGAGCTACCCACATGGCACAGCAGACCTCTCCTGTCTTGCCCACAGCTCCCCTCAGCAGTGTATTTCAGTTAGTCTGCCTGTTCTGTTCCCCACTCTCTCTGGTGAATCCTGTCACCACTCCCTATATCTCTGGCCTGTACCCCAGTTCTTGTATGCATAAATAAATAAATAAATCTTAAAAAAAAAAGAAATCTAAGGATATCAAAGTAAGGCAGAGTATTGAAAGATACTCAAGTATATTTATAATGAAACCTCTTACAACTTGGTTTAAAAATCTTGCCAAAGTCTAAGTCATCTGTTTTTTAACTGTTTTGCTAAAAGTGATGCCAACAGTGAGGTTAAAGGTTGAAGTCATATTCTGGGGAGGTCTGTGTGCTCCTGTGCAGGCAGGAGTAGCTAAAGCAACCTCTGCAGTGATTTTCATAGACCCTGAGAATGCTGTGAGAAGAGCCCCTCTTCCCTGTGAGGAAAAACGCCTCCCCTCCTGACTAAAGTGCTGGTCCTGGCCATCTCCTGCCGTGGGGGAGCAGGTACAGGTACGTTGTCTCTCGGTCTCCCTATGGATGGGAGGTTGGACAGCACCTGAGGCAGAGTACCTAGGAAAATGGCCGCCTTCTGAGGGAAAAGCTTCAATTCTGTGAAAGGTTTCACAGTAAGCTAGGAATTCCAGACTAAGGATGCAATCAGAATTGGATTTAGCAATTTCCTAACCACAGTAAAGAACTAGGTTTTTTTTTTGAAAATACCTATTTAACAGTTTGTTTTCCTTCATCATCATGGGAGTGCTTCTTTAGTATTTTACACAGCTGTCCTAAAGAATGTTTAAAATTAGAATTGGATTTATAAAGGCGATAGAAGAACCTAATAATCTAACTGCTTGACGGTTGATGACCCCTAAGAGTCTAGTTCAAACTGGGACTGTGACTGGCCCCGGTTCCTAGTGGGTATCTCAGGCCTCCAGCGGGAACAACTCAAAATTCCTTGCTATGGAGGTTTCACTTAAAATTTTGTATAACAACTATTTCCACTGCTTAAATTAAAGGCGTTTCAAGGGCTCAAGTTTAGCTATTTAGATGATGAAAAAATAGGTAATAAAGGCATCTCCGCCCCACCCAGGTGGTTGACCTGGCTAACTTCAGGTAAAGAATCTACTGCATTGAATAGCCTCTAGCACAAAGATTCTCAAGTTAGGCTGCACAACCAAATCACCCAGAGGACACTGACAATCCCATCACACAGATCACAGCACAGTCCAATTAAATTAGATAGTCTGGAGTGGGACCCAGATATCCCCTGAAAAGCTGTTCTGGAGGTTAACTTTACTTCCTATCACTTATAACGTATTGATGAATGACAATTCTCACCCAAGGGGCCCACAGAGTTTAAAAAGTAAATAACTTTGCAGACCACCAAGTGCCTTTCGGTGTCCTGCAGTTAGTTATATGGAGTCCTGGAGTAAGGATGCTTTAAATAATATGCCAGTGATGAAATATGGTATCTCAGATAACATGCTGACTATAATTAAGGAGGTGAGTGGGGGAGAGCTGCAAAGGGAGGGGGGCCATTAAATAATGAGGCGCTCTGGCATAGAGTGGTAAACATGTGTGGAGCATCTAGTCAACAGCAAGGTTTCTCCACTGGAGAATCGTTCTGGGTATACAGCTGACCCAAACAGAAATGTGCACAGAAACCCTCCCTGGAACACAGAGAACAGTTTATTCCCAGAAACAACAAAAATACCTTATCTCGACCCCAGAACCTTGACTTAGGCTGTGAATACTGAAGGATGTCAAAGGCTGTCTCCTTGATGATAACTGGATTCAAAATCCTGAAGTGCTTTGGCTGTAGTGGGATTTTTGATGCCACCTGCTTCCAAAAGAAGATTCGCATCCAAAATGGCTAAGGAAAGAAAGCAAGCAATCATTATGAGTATTTAATAAAGTGATCCAATCAGCGGAGAGAATGCACCCCCTGCGAATGGACCAAGGCTGTGGACGTGACCCCACATGGGCTTGCCTGCAGCAGAGAGGACTTGCAGAACCAGCTTGTTTGTTTGGGGAAGAAATTTCTCAGGGCAGAAGAGCTAAAAAGAAACTTCTCTGAAGAGGAAATGCAAATGGCCAACAGGCATATGAAAAAACGTTCAACATCACTTGTAATCAGGGAAATGCAAATCAAAACTACCATGAGATACCATCTTACACCAGTGAGAATGGCACATATTAAAAAAACTAGCAACAGCAAATGTTGGCGAGGGTGTGGAGAAAAAGGAACTCTTCTGCACTGTTGGTGGGAGTGCAAACTGGTCCAACCACTATGGAGAGCTGTGTGGAGATTTCTGGACCTACTAAACATAGAGCTTCCATATGATCCAGCAATTCCACTCCTAGGTATTTACCCAAAGGACACGGAAACATCCATTCCAAAGAACACCTGCACCCCTATGTTTATAGCAGCACTATTTACAATAGCTAAGCTTTGGAAACAGCCCAAATGCCCAAAATTAGATGACTGGCAGCAACATGGATGGCGCTGGAAGGGATCATGCTCAGCGAAATAAGCCAAAAAGAAAAAGAAAAATACCGGATGGTCTCACTCATAGCAGGAATCTAGAAAACTTAAATAAGGGACCAGGAAAATGAGTAACTATAAGAAAATGAAAATCAAAATCAACAAAAAACTATGAACCAGAGACACTTTTTGGGGGGTGGGGGGCGGGAGGGGAGGGATTGGGGTCAGAATTGGGGGGTTGCAATTGTATGGGGAATATAAAAATAAAATTTATTATTTAAAAAAAAAAAAAGAAATTTCTCAGGGGATAGCCTGAGATGGCAAGCCTTTTTAGGATCAAAAGCCATCATTTTGCCAGAGAAGATAAGGTGAACAGGCCCAGTTCAGGGATGTTAATACTGTGATTGCCCTGCTCTGTCAGGCTGATCTCAGCCTGCATCGTCTCTCCACTTTCTCACTCCATTTCCTCGTCTGTGAAGTCTCCTAAGTGACTTCATACGAGCTTCACCTTCCAACCAGACAACTTGTACCCAATAGGAAATTCAGATGATCATGACATGTACAGAATCAAGCTTTGAAGATACAAAGTCTCAACCACATGAAACTCAGGTGAAAAGCTTAATATGCCCTATCAATTTTGCAAACAGCTAGTCTGTGCATGTGTATATATTCTAGAGGACAGCAGTCTCTGAAGTTTGTGTCAACATTGTGGGTGGGATTATAAAGTAACGTGATTGATCACTGTAAAGAGAAACAAAAGGAATAGGACCAAGTGGGGGCTACTACCTTACTGTTGCCCCTCTGGAATGCTATGAATTTACTTTAACAAGATGATCAAGCAAAGCATTTTTGGGAGAATCTCTTTGAGATTAAGCCTCAGAGATTTTATGTATATTCTTTTGAATATCCTCAATCATAGTTTATATTCATCAACATGTCTAATTTCTGCAAACAGCCAAAAGCTCTATTAAGTTCAAAGTTGGCAAGTAAGGTGGGTGAACAACCTCAGTAACAGCAGCTTGGGTTCAAAACTTAACATTCCCATTAAGTAGTAAACCACAATTTCCATGTGTCACTCAATTAAGTTCTGAAAGCAATTCCCAGCAAGGGGCTCTCAGGGGTTTCTATAATCTGAGTGATTATTGAAAGACAACACAAAAGCATGCACTCCATTGTTTAAAAATAAGCCTTCAACTATAATTGGGGACCCCTTTACTTTTTACAAAAGCATAAATTTGATAGATGAATCCTAGTGCTTACCAGGGTTTCATTTTTTACCATTGCTTGAAGCCAGCTGAAGTCAACTGTCTTAAATAAAACAGCTACAAACAAGTCAGTGGAATAATATTCAAGGTCAGACAGTGGTGCGCCCTCTGGATAAGTCATCCTTATAGTAGTTTTATTTCCAACATGTTCTGAATAGCCCTCAACTGGTGCACTGTTTAACCTATTTAAATAAAAAGGACAAAGATAAATTGACAAAGCAAGCCATTATCTACCTTACCTCTGTGTGCTCCACTATTTTCTTAGGAGAGGGACTGAGTACAGGTTGGAGTAGAGGTTTCAGCAGTCTAGGCAGCCCTCACACCCCTGCCCTTTCCAGGTGTTGGGTGAACATGAATCCAGCAGCTTTCAGTCCCAGTGGGACACCTATATCTCATCTCTAAACATCAAGCAATTCCACCTAATCCTGCCATTCTAAGCCAATCCAAACATGACTTCTTGAGCTTTCTCTGGGCACTGGTGATGTTTCCTTGAAAGTTTATCATTGTGTTCAGACATTAGTGGTTCTGGTCAGAATTTTACAGAGGTGATTAGAAAGGAAAACCCAGAAGCCAGGGCAAGGCATAAACAAGTCAGTTACATGGATGGGACTGGGACCAAGGAGGGCACTTAGAGCAACAATTTGGGGCACTGACAGCTGTCAGATAAATGAAGGCATTATCAGGGTGGTTGTTTGGGGGGAAAATCTAAGAATTTTTCCAAAAGTTATATTATTCAACAGGTTACAGTTTTAAAATCTCAGTTCTTCATCTGTGTTATCAAATCTGTAATCTTTCTTTTCCGTTCCACTGCTACTTCGTCTTCTAGATCTCAGATACCTAAATGCTGGATTAGTAGCCATGACAATAGAATGCAGGGCATGAACCTGGACTTCTTTTTTTCTTTTTCTTTTTAAAAATAAAGGACATTAGAAGATAACAGGTGTATCTGAATTAAGACTCTGCATAAACTATATTGCAGCAGTGTTTTTCATTTCCTAATTCTGAATATCACTCTGTTGTTCTGCAGTTCTATAACAGTATGTCCTTGTTCTTAGGAAATGCACACTAAAGTATGTCAGTGTAGAGGGGATTGATGATTCCAACAAATTGCAAATGGTTCAGGAAAGAAAAGCAGTACATAAATGGAGACAACTATAAAGCAAAGGTATACAAACGCATATACAGTTACATACCTGTATATAGTATTACCAATTGGAGAATCTGGGTGAATAGGAGTTATTTGCACTATTCTGAGACTTTTTTGTAAAGTTTAAAATTGCTTTAAATTTACCCTGAAAAAGGTTTCTTTTTTTTTTTTTAAAGATTTATTTATTTATGCATACAGGCACTGGGGTACAAACCGAGGTGTAGGGGGTGAGAGGATTCACCAGAGACAGAGTGGGGAACAGAACAGGCAGACTGACTGAAATACACTGCTGAGGGGAGCACCGGGTGAGTCAGGAGAGGTCTGCTGTGCCATGTGGGTCACCTCCCTGGCTGGGGATAGAACTTGGTGCTTCAGTGGCTACAGATAGCTTCACAGGTTGCATCTTAACCCCTTGCACCACCAGGGAGGCCCGTGAAAAAGGTTTCTTAACTGATCTTCTACATCATCACCAGGCTAAGTCACCTTCTCCTCTCTGCAGCACTCTCATATCTTAAGATAAAGACAATTTACTAAAATGTTTTAAAAGCCTTAAAAATATTCAAATAATCTTTAAGCCAACAGTTCTAGAAATTCTTGGATTTCTTTCCAAGGAAATAATCAGAGATGTACATAATTATATAAATATATATACATTGTAAATGCCCAGCAAGAGAGAAAATGTTCATAGTATTAAGTTTAATAAATAAGACATTTTATAAGAATAGAATGTACTCATCAGTATGTTTCTAGCACAGAAGTATATAAAACATAGCAAATTAATATTGATTGGTTATTTGTGCTAAGACTTATTTTCTTCCTCATACTTTTTGGTATTTTTTTACTTCTCAAGAATGAACATAAGGTACCTCACTTTTGTAATCAGAAAAACAATTTTTAGTCAGATAAGCCAAAAAAAAAAATCTAGGGTGGCTGCCGACTGCCTGTGATATGCTATTCCAGCTCCTCCTTGTCTCTCCTGTGTCCTAGCCAGCGCTTTGCTGGCTTATCTGAGGCTACCTGTCCTTCCAAACCTCACCTCCTCTGAAAGGTTCTGCCATGTTAGGGTCACTATGGCACAGCTTGGGTATCCAATTCCCTCATGCTTTTGTTTCAGCCTCTCAAGCAGCAGGTCCCAAAGGCAGGGACATGCAGGGCTGCCTGTATCACTCACTGTTCTCAGGGCTGCCCTCATCTCAGCGGTGAACTTAACTCTAGAGGAGAAAGGCTGGTTTTAAAGCCAATGTACCTTATCACAACATCAAACTGGTTCAGGGCATGGCCCAGTTCTAGTCCATGGAGAATTCCACCGTTTCCGATAACCACGCAACGCCTACAACTCTTCGTTTTCAAGTGTTCAGGAAAGTCGTGCTCGGGCATTATTTCCAAGAGGGTCTGGACTTTACTGGAGAACTCCCGGAATCCAAAAGGAGGATTGTATTGGTATTCAGCTTCATTTACTTTGGTGGCCTTCTTCACGAAGGGCAGTAAGTCCATGCTATACCTGCGCCCAAACAACCGTGCCATTGACTTCTTTGCAAATCTGGGTCGACATTCCTTTTGCAAGATGTGTTGAGCATGCTTCTGAGCTCTCTGGAAGGAATCACACCAATCAGAGTTTAAGGAACTCTCAGGCATTAGAAGGACATTCATAGATGACACTTTGTCCTGTGATGTCTGATATAATTCCCTTGTTGATTATTCTCTTTTCATACAGCTCATGTGCTTTTAAGAGTTAATTTATGCTCAGAAGCTTGAAAACCTGGGAAAGCCACATGACAAGGAGATAAACTCAACAAGAATATTTATTTCATTACAGAAGTAAAGCAGGAAGGTTCCCCTTCCCCCAGCATAATATTGTTCAAATACATTTGGGGTGAAAAACATGTTGAGGTGTTGAAGACTGCATGTTTCATAAAATCCTGACATATGCTGCAACATGGATCACCTTTGAGGACGTTACACCAAACTCAGTCAGTCACAAAAACATAAATGTCCTATGCTTCCATTTATATTAAAGAAGTCAAATTCATAGAGATAGTAAATAGAATGATGGTTACCAGGGGTGGGGGGAGGGGGAGAAGGGGGAGCTGTTTAACGGCCACGGAGGTTCAGCTTACAAAATGAAAAAGAGAAATATGTTTTAGAACAATGTAAATATACTAAACGTGCCAAACCATACATTTAACACTAGTTAAGATGGTTAACTTTTAGGTTATGTGTTTTTTACTGCAACCTAAAAAAGGATCTCACATTTCAGGCTCTCAAGCAGAAGGATGAGAAACAGTCTTATTTATCAGTTGGATAATGAGCTGCCTATAGTCTGGAATGCAAATTACTTTAAATTTAATCAAGGAACCATATCATTTCTGTTTTTTTTTTTTTTAAGATTTTATTTATTTATTTATACAAGCACTGGGTACAGTCAGAAGCACGGGAGGGTGAGAGAATTCACCAGAGCCAGAGCGGGGAGCAGAGCAGGCAGAAGGACGGAAGCACACTGCTGAGGGGAGCAGCGGGCGGCAGGAGAGGTCTGTTCGCCATGTGGGACCCTCACCCGGTGGCCTGGGATGGAACCGGCGCTGCAGAGGTTGCAGTCAGCTTCGCAACCCAGCACTCAACCGCTGCGCCACAGGGGTGAACCATATCATTTCAATACAGAAGTTACCTTGGTTTCATATACAGTTTCCCCTGCATATTAATGTTTTGCATTGACAAGGAGTGACTGTTGAATGCCAAGTACACTAGCCCAGCTGAATGCAGCAAAGCAGAGAGAATAGGTACAGATGCCCATTTGCCCCATAGTCCTCCTCGTAGCTAAGTCTGCCAGATGCTCCTTCAGAACCATGTGGCAGGTGGTTGTTCCCCATCACTGTGCTTTTTGTCCTTATCTCCATATTTAGTAGCTTTGGTGCTGCCTTACATCGCCTCCCACCAAACTTTCTCCCATTCCTTTACGTGTGTGTGAAAGAGAGACAGAGACAGAGAGAGAGACAGAGACAGAGACAGAGAGCTATATTTACTGGGTTGTGACTTTTTAAAAAAAAAAAAGATTTATTTATTTATGCATACAAGAGCTGGGGTACAGGCCAGAGGTGTGGGGTGAGGGAGGGGTGAGAGGATACACCAGAGACAGAGTCGGGAGCAGAACAGGCAGACTGACTAGAATACACTGCTGAGGGGAGCAGTGGGCAAAACAGGAGAGGTCTGCTGCATCATGTGGGTAGCTCCCTGCCCAGCCCAGGATTGAACTTGTGCTGCAGAGGCTGATGATAGCTTCATAGTGCTGTGCTTAACCCCTTGCATGACCAGGGAGGCCCCTGGGTTGTAACTTTTGAATTGCATCAGTACTACTGGGATTATTTCCAAGGAACTAGAGAATTACATAAAGACATGTACATGAGAATATGCAAATAATGAGAATTGTTATTATTTCACAAAGGCCTAAACTCTGTGCTTCAACTCTGTTTTTCCTCAAAGTCTTTTTATTGTCTGATTTTTATCTCATTTTTTTGGGTAGGAACACATCTTATTATAAAGAAGCCCCTCGTCCCTTTTGTTTAAAGTTTCAAAACGTTATTAGTGCCTGGGAAAGGCACACTGTCTACATGGTGAGGATCTGGCTGCATTTCTCAAGAGGGGAATTGATACTCTTTGAGCCTCAGACGATGCTGCAGACACTGCATGTTCGCTGTCTGAGCTGTCACAGCACTTCAGACGGCCGTCACCAGCATCCTTATGTTTTGGGCTCACATGGCGTCACCAGTAAAAAGGACTAAGCTGACATACTAACCTGTTCTTATTTCTCCCCAAACTCCTAAGACCACAGCCTCTGCATACAGAGAACAGCACACAACTGCCATCACTGAGAACAAGACTGAAGTATGAAGTGGCTTCTTCATGAAAAATCAGTTTAAGAAAGTCAAACAAAGGAAGGGCCATAACCCCCAGCAGTCCCTGAAATGGAGGACTCACCCCTAGATGGGTTGGCCATGTTGGCAATACTCTGCATCCAGTAGGCTTTCACATGTAACTGGTGGAGGCAGGGCCGACAGAAGGGCCACACACACTCTGCACATTTGTGTCCAGGCTCAAGGCCTGAAGGTCATGAGCAGTATTTTTAAAGGACACAAGGCCTAATTCTTTACCTCAGTAAAACATCCCAAGCATGTGGTTTTACAAGTTTCCTAGGGTAGCAATGAACATCTGAGAAGAATGTTGAATTCAAATTCAAATTCTGAGAAGAATTTGAGTCGGAGAGGAGCTTAGTGATTGGCTCGTGACTGGAAAGAGAGGTAGATGATGAAGCTGGAAATGTGCACGCATCTCCCACGCTGCCAGATATTCTCTTTAGGTGTCATTTGGAAAGAGTGAAATTTCATTCCACTTCCATCCTGGCAAAGAGTTCCATTTCAGGTTTCAAACTGAATTTTCTAGACTGTGAACAGAGCACAGGCTTGGTAACAGTCTTCCGATGGTGACCCCTCCACAGCGGGTACAATAAATCAATCCCGAGTGAATACATGCTCTAAATGCCACTGGAGATGACTAAAGCCTCAGCCAGGCCTCTTTTTCTTTTGTTTCAACTCGTTTAAAGATGTGTAACAAGCTCTGAGAAAACCCCTGAGATAATGTCTCCTAACAGAAACTGTCTCAGCCTCTCTCCTCCCTCTTCAAAGTTCAGAAGCAAAACACCTCCGGAGATTCCCTTTTCTCTGGGAGCTGTCAGGAAGGGAGGAAGCATTGCGTGACTTTCCCCTTCTTGGCTGCAGAGAGTTCCAAAGCTGGAAGTGGATCAGGCAAGGCGGGAAGGAGACATGCACTGTGCAGAGGTCTAGATGGCACCCACCCAGGGTGTGGACCCCCAGGAAGCCAAAACCTGGTACTCTCTTAAAGATAAAGAAACTCCCTCCCACTTCTCTCCACCAAGCCATGGAAATGAGAGCTTCAGTTTTAAAAGTCTTCTAGGCTGAGCCTGCTGGCTGCCCACAATTAAGAACAAACAGACATCTGGTGGTTCCAATTGTCAATGACGTGGCCATTTGCCATGGAATACCACAACGTGAAAATTCAAGAAAATCTCCACTTTCGTTTCTGCTTCATTATTTCTAGGACGAATCCTCCTCAGAAATATGATGTAGTGCTTAGAAAAAGACAAAGTTCTTTTTCATTTATGTATTTACGTAAATCCAGGGCAGGGCAGGGCATGCGGGTTGGAGGAGTAACCAAACGTGGGATGGAGCCTGACTTAGCCACACGACCAAGGGCATCAGGTACTTATGAAATATTTACATCCACTGGTCCTGGTCTCTTCCCTGGGGCTCCTGTGATGCCAACAGCCTCACAGGTACAGCTGGTACAGCTGGATACGTGAAGACCCTAGTGCTATTACACAAGAACAGCACTATGGGCAAAGCTACTACCGCATCAGCCAATTAAAATTAATTGTCTCTCACTTTGACCTGGTTAAACGAAAATCTGAATAACCAAGTCACAGAAAGCACACTGTAGTAAAAATGCAACTGGTCCTGGGGCTGCCGGGGCCTGGGTGTGGAGGGTGAAGCCTGACTACACAGGATGAGAGGGAATTAACTTGGGTAACAGAAAGGTCCTAAAACTGGATTGTGGTGTATGTAACTATATACATTGACTAACACTCATGAACTGTATGCTTAAAAAGAATAATCTTACGGTATATATATTTTATCACAATAAACTGTTGAGAAAAGAATAGAATGATCTGGATACTAGACCCAGTTCTAGATCTATTAAACTAGTAGCATAACTTCACCTTGGTCAAAGGTTAAGCAATTAACCTTGGTCAAAACTTCAGTTTCTTTATCTTTTGACATTCAAGGATGGTTTGGGGTGGGGGGCATAGACCCAAGAAGAGAAAAGAATGGATGTGGAGATGTGATTGCCTGAACTCATTTAATAATAACTCACTGGGTTCATGAGTATAGGTGTGCAAAGTAAGAGAAAATAGTAAATTTGGCCATAATTGACTACACAGCACAGAATGCAGTCCCTGGGGCAGCACGTGGTCTTAGCTGAGAGAATGGAGAGCCAAGTTCAAACAGCTGCTCCTATGCAGGCCAAATCGAAATGGACATGAGTATGCCCAGGTCTCTCCTAGAACATCTTCTAAGTATAATTTCACATCCAAACCACACGTTCAAAGGACACAGGCATCCCTGCAGAGACTCTCTCTCTTAAAACAATTGACACATTAATGAGTGTCTTTAAATGGCAAATGCAGAATCTCTGGCCACACTTCTGCTGTAATGGTGCAGGCCAGATCCAGCACAACCAGACAACACCCCTGGCCAAACAGGCTGGCGAGGGGCCACCAAAATTGCAAGTTTCTGAATGTAATCAACAGTTAACGGGGCCCCATTCTGATGGCTTTAGATCATTTGCCATTATACATCCACAGTAATTCAAATTTGTCCAAGCACCCCGGGTGGTTAGGGTAAATCTCCACCAACAGCCTTGAGGTTTTTTTTTTAATATTTATTTATTTATGTATACAAGAACTGGGGTACAGGCCAGAGGTGTGGAGGGGGGTGAGAGGATTCACCAGAGACAGAGTGGGGAACAGAACAGGCAGACTGACTGAAATACGCTGCTGAGGGGAGCAGTGGGTGAGACAGGAGAGGTCTGCTGCACCATGTGGGTTGCTCCCTGGCCGGGGATCGAACTTGTGCTACAGTGGCTGCAGGCAGCTTCATATGTTGTGTCTTAACCCCTTGTACCACCAGGGAGGCCCTGAAGATGGTTTTCTTCATGACCAGCCATTCTGAATTCTCATGGCCATTCAGAGCACCAGGCCCACATGGGCCACTTCCTTAGCCAGTTCTAATCTGGAGACTCGGGAGAGGGTTTCTGCTCAGGCTTTCATTCTGCATAATCAGTTACCAAACTTAGGAGCAGCTTAGTGAGGACTCAAAGTCTTTTACTCTGGCCCTGTTTAGTGTACAATCTCTAATCCCTATCTCCACCCCCAAATCCTCAGTCATGTCCACTTGTTCCTCCTCTTGTGACTCCTCGGAAGCACACACTTTTTGCACACACTGCTGCTCAGCCTGGAATGACATTCTGTCAGGACCACTGTGAAAAGTGGGGCATTCCATTCCACAAAAATGGAAAAACGCTACTGAAAGTCTCAAGCCATCCCTCGTTCCACCATGCTTCTAGCAGGCTCTCATTTTCTATTTTATTCATTTCTGATATGATTGAAGCTTTTACATTTTCCACTAATATGACCACCCCCATCCCTCCTTCTTTCCCCACAAATTACAGAGAACTTTATGAATTTTATTCATTTCTGTATTATTTGAATGTTTGCTGTCATTTTCTTTTAGAAATCTTTCAGAACTAGGTTTGTGGTAGACAATGTGGACTGTCTACTCAGTCTCCAATTCCTGCTGCTTTTTAGGAGCCCACAACTGTCACCTCTTCTCTGTGCAGGAATGGGTCTTGGAGGCTGACCTTGCCCATCAGGTCCTCCCAGCTCTTTGTCAGGGATTGGTCAGGAATCCTCACTGGGGCCAATCAGGGCAGGGCACTGGAGAGGCTGTTACTGGCCCAGCAGTAAACTTAGCCTAAAGGGAGGACTCACTCCACAGCTGAGGTGGGAGTGGGGGTGGAGACGGGGGAGGCTTTTCTCTGTCTAACCATGGATATGAAGAATTAAACAAGAGAAAACGCTGTTCCTCAAAGGGATAGTAAACCTAATGCACATTGCTGAAAGTACACAAAGAATTACCTTTTACTTAATTGTGGATTTTGCATGCCAATCTGGAGACAAGACCCTACACTGTGGCTGATGCCATATCCCCCCCTCCCTCTGGAGCTATATATAGCAATATAGTCATTGCTGTAAATGTTAGCACAGGATCCCTGACTCCAAGGACTTGCCTGAGGACAAGTGGGGAAGACAAACACTTAAAATACAGTGAAAAATGTTAGAAGTGAGGTATGAAGAGGCTTCTAGAAGACAGAGAGGGGGAATCATCAGAGAGGGTATCTTGGAAATGGTAACCCCTGAGCTGAGACATGATGTAAACGATGAGTGATAGAGAAGCAAAGGACAGGCAGGGTCTCCAGGTAGAGAGGAAAGAATGCAACAAACACACAGGAAAGTCTTTTCATTAATGGTACAAAACGGAACAACTAGAGAGCCACACGTAAAAGAACTGAAGGATAGAAAGGAGGGAAGCAGCAGGAAGGGAGGAAAGGAAGGTCCACCAAGGACCTGAAGGGATTTGGTATCCCCAGTAACAGGCAGTGCTGAGGGGGTGGCAGAGGAGGCTGGAGGTCAGTAGGAACCAAGTCATGAGAGCTGGACAGGCCAGGCTAAGGAGCCGGGATATTCTCCTGAAGGTAATGGAGGGAAGTCAGAGTTTTCAGTAGGGAAGCAACCATCACATTCAATTTTTAGAAACACTGCTGTGGCCACAGTGGAGCATGCCTGGATGCAGAGAGAACGATAAGGAGACATGGAACTCAGGCCAAGAATGCAGGCAGGGGATTCCAGCTGTGGACTATTTCTTTCCTTGGAATCCCAGAAACTGTTTAGAGTCCTGTTCTTAAATAACTTTAGATGGAAGGACAGAATTCTTACATGAATTACTATAATGCTATCTGGTAAGTTTCAGAGGAGTTTCAAAGAATCCCTGAGGTTCACTTTGAAAATCAAGAGACTTGAGGGCCTGCATACCCACATTCAGAACAGGGAAAGCCCCAGGTTACGAAGCCAGCCTACATTTTCCAGCCACAATCTGATGCCTGAATTCTACCTACAGGACCCCACAAATAATTATCCTGGCTTTGAATAAAAACCACAAAGGGGCCCACTTACTCTCCCTGTGGATGCTTTATAGTCAAACCCTTCTCCTTTCAGCTGTGGCTGTGAACTCCTGATACACATCTCTGATAGTCAGGCCACCAGGGCAGGACCAACCTTTCCAGAGGCCTTGCTGATTTGTTGATGGCAGCCGTCAGGAGCCCAGCAAATGCTCCCATCTTTCAACAGTTTCTCAAGGACATGGTCTTGAGTCTCTACTCTTGATTCTCTTAGATTCCTTAAGGGAATCTTAAAAGAGTAACGATCACAAAGATCAGAGTTCCTGTCTGACACTGCAGGGACAAGAAGACCATCCTGAAGCTACTGTAGCTCCAGGAAATCAACTTCAGATAGCCACAGGGCATCTGGATGCAGATGGTGCTGCCCAGGCACTGAAACCGCTCAGGTGATTTCACCCGCGGTGTTACTAAACCACTGTGTCGTCCATTCTGTAGTAGTGAAATGGTGTACAAGACAGCTCCCATTTCTCCTCAAGGAACCCAGACTCTAGAACAATTACCACTGCAGCTGGCCGGGAGTTCTGTGCTGTAGTTAAGTGGACAGGAGGGGCAGCATGAGCAGACTGTGAAGGGCAGTGAAGAAATAAGGGAAGAGCTCATACATAGTGGTAGGTCACATCAAGTGCCAGCGCTTCACGCCTTTGCCAGGAGACAAAAAAACAGAGACAGGATATCCAAAATCAATATCCAACATTGCTGTGGAACTGCGAGTGATTTGGGGATGTCTGCAAGTCCAGCCAAATTGAATGGAGGGAGAAGTAGGAGCCCAGAACACGAGTATGCCCTGCTCCACTGAAGCAGATGTGCTAATGCTGAACTGAACTGAGTTAGTGACATCTGAGGACAGATTCAGCGAGGAAATAACACAAGGCTGTTATCAGCAAGACCTCTGAGACGCAGTAGCTCTGCAAAGGCCAGTTCTGTCACCTATGTGTTTATGCTTATCTGTATTACAAAAAATTGGAGCCATTTGGAAGGACACACCAATTAAAGTAGAAACGTGGGAGGAAAAAATCAGGACTAGAAAAGTTCTGTGTGTATTACGTCATTCAACTTTGATGGCTACCCTGTTACACAAGACAGTCTTATCTACATTTCATAGTTGAGAAAATCAGGACCCAAAACAATTGGTAACTTGCCCAAGGTCTCATAGTTACTAAACACCATCTGGATTTGATACTAGGTCAGAAATGTATGCTCTCCTCTCTGCCTCATGCTGTCTATTAACTTCTGGCTTCTTTTGTGCGGACACTCCCCATCAGGCAGAGAGCAGAGTCATCAGGAGCTCAGATTCTGAAATCACACTGCTGGGCCCAAACCCTGACTCCACCAGGCATGAGCTAAGTGACCTTGGGCAAATTAACCTCCCTGCCCTTCTGTTTCCTTGGTTGTGAGACGGGGGTGATAATAGCACCAGGATTGTCAGGGGCGTTAAAGGAGTTTAGATCATAGAAGCCCTTTTAGAACAGTTATGTAGTACACACTAAACTAGATTAACTAAGTTAGCAAACTAAACCAGATGTGAACTTGGCCAAATATCTGACCTCCCAGGCCACGGTCTGGAAAGGTGGAAAGAATACTGGGATATGTCCTGTCACCAGGACAATTACATGAGATATTTGTAAAGCACCTATGTGAGTTGCTTTTTATTATTATTACCATGTAGTCTTATTGAAAATCATCTCTTCTTTCACCCAGGGCTGGACAGTATTGAATAATTTGACCATTCAAATAATCAGTGAAATGAGCATTTACTATGCCAATTGATTTTAGCAAAATAAACATAAATTGAAGGCAAAATTTTGAAATACAAATGAAATCATTAAAATAAAAATAAGACACAGGAGTTTCTTCCTGTTTTAAGAACATGTACCCTGGCAGCATAGCAGCCTATTAACCCCATGACAGGCTACAAGTAAGGGGAAATGACCATGCAGTAGGCAGGTGGTTTGGCTGCTCTGTAGGGGAAGTTGTCTTTGTAGGGGAAGTTTGTAGGGTTTTGGAGTACTTAGACTTTCCCCCTCTGTTTACAGCTTCCATGAACATTCATTTATAATACTTTACAGATGATATTACCAGTCAAGTGTACGCTTGGAAATGTCTTAATTTAAACCATACTGGTGGGAGAGCTAACCTTTATACGGTCAGGGTCTACATAATGTATCCTCTTCATGTCACATTCTTCAGAGGCATAGTTTAGTTTGAGGATATAAAGGATCCACAATCCAAACACAAGCAATGTACATCTGAAAAAAAAGCATTAGGTGTAATGATGTAGTCATGTGAGAATCAAGAAACATTATGTGAAATAAGTGAAAACCTAAAGCAAATCGAGCATGAAAGTACTGTCTTTATGTTGAGCTCAGTGGTGGAAGGCTCCATTTCATATTTGCCTGAGAAAATTAGTCATTTATGACTGTGTTTGTTATAAGTGAATCTAGAAAACACCTTTTTACCAAAAAAGTTCCATAACAAAACCTGAATCACAATGCAAATTACTGGACTAAAAAACAACAACAACAACAAAACCCACAAGTAATAGATGATGAACTATGGAATCTCAACTTCAATTTTTTGCAACTGCTACATAATGTCAGTGCTTCAGCTACTGTTTGACTCCACTTATAAGAGGGACATCAAAATCACAGACCCAAAGCAGAATGCTGGTTGCCAGGGTCTGGGGGGATGGAGTTACAGTTTAATGGGTAAAGAATCCTAATTTTACAAGAGGGAATGAGTTCTAAAGACAAGAAGGAGTGCTGGCTGTGTAACAGTGTGAACACCTATAATGTCACTGAACTGTACACTGAGAAATGATTAAGATGGTAAATTCTATGGGTATTTTATTGCAATAAAAAATGGGGTAAGAATATTGTGAATCTGGAAAACAAAAGAAACAATTTCCTTAGAATTCCTTTAAAGATGTATCAAAACGGGTGGGAAGAGCACAAGGGACTATGGTGATGGTACACGGGTGAACTGGTGGTGAGAATTTCATGGGGACTATATCCGAGATGATAAAGCATACATTGTATAAAAATGAAGAATGTTGTAAAAAATATATTTAAAAAAAAAAAAGAAATAGAATTCCTTTAAAGAACTCTTCGACCCAGTACCACCAACCACCAGTGACCCTTGTACCACCTACAAAACTGCTTTTAAAGATCTGATAAAGCCATACTCTTGTTTGTTTAAAATACATGCTCAGGTTCACAAACACTATATTTTTATAGGCACAAGAGTGATAATGTTGGTTGTCTTTACATAGGGAGGGGAAACATGTTTTATTGCGTACCTTTACTATCTTCTGAATTTTGAATCTTATGAGTACAGTATTCTCTCAATTTCTCTGTCCAACCCCCAAACAGAGTACCTTTATTTTGATTACTATTTTTAAAAAATGGAAGGAAGGAAGTAAAAGGCGTTAACAGCAGGCTCACTCTCTACCACATATCATGCTGTCCTCTGATTCCCAGACACCAGTCTGTCCAAAGCAGCATGGGGCCCGGATCCACCTTGTTTGCTGCCGTGTGACTGACATGGGTCCAGGCACGTGAGGGCCTTAACTAACATTGTGGGTTGACAAAAGGACATGGAAAATGACACGAGTGTTTATTAAAATACATTCACTTTTCCTACTTTCTTCTTCTTATACCTTTTAAGTTAATAAAATGAGATGGGAGACTAGACTTCAGGATGAAATTTCTATTTTTAGACATGAAAACAAGTCATTTTCAATTTGGTTTGACTAGCACCAAATAAATTGTTTTAATAATTTGAACACTTATTAGGATCTAAGCATGAAGATGGCTGAAAGACATGCCAGACTTTTTAGAATTCAGTAGTTAATGTTATTCAAATGTCTTTAGGGGGCTTTAATTAACCAAATAATTTAAATTAACTTAAAATAGCTGAGCCTTTTGAAAAGGCCCTCTTTGTTACATACTGGTGGGACTTGCTGTGTCCTGCAAGAGCTCTGGGGCATTGGAGCTCAGGTACAGAGTCTGAACGGCTCCCCACTGGGCACCGCACTGTCACCAAGGACAGCTTGACACATAAGCCCGTGAATCCTATAACATGCACTGAATCGTTCCTCAGATGTGTCTTCAAAAGATCCTTGACCAAGTACAAGAACCATTTTTTTAGGGTTCTCATTGACTTTTTCTCCCAGTTCAACTAACCCAAATCAGGGGGATCTTATAGCTGAAGGGCTTGTACTTACTTGAGGATGTGTTTTAACAAGTTGGGTCTTCTCATCTTGTTCTGTACTAGAATGTACCAGTGTACGGAGGGTCTTGAGCAATCCCTTCTCGGTTTCACAGAGTTATATTCATTTGGTATTGCTGGAAAGAATTGGGGAGAGGACAGGAGGAGAAAAAAAGGAGGGATGTGTTAGGTGGGTTATGCTTTTAAAAAAGTCCGTACCATGCAATACTATTCAGCGATAAAAAGAAATGAACTATTGATGCATGCAGCAACTTGGATGAATCTAGAAAAGAATTATGCTGAGCCAGGCCTCCCTGGTGGCACAAGGGGTTAAGTCTCAGAACAATAAAGCTATCCATAGCCACTGCAACACGAGTTCGATCCCCGGCCAGGGAGCTAACCCACATGGCACAGCAGACCTTTCCGTCTCACCCGCTGCTCCCCACTCTGTCTCTGAGGAATCCTCTTACCCCCGCACCTCTGGCCTATACACGTTCTTGGATGCATAAATAAAATAAATCTTAAAAAAAAAAAAAAGAATTATGCTGAGCCAATACTAAAAGGTTACACATTGTGTAATTCCATTTATATAACATTCTTGAAATGACAAAACCGTAGAAATGGTGATCAGTAGTTAGGAGTTATGGAGGGGGTTAAGGAGTGTGGCTATAGGGGGCAACATGAGGCTCCTTGCATGATGGAGATGTCTGATGTCTTCACTGTACCTGTGTGGGTACCCCAGTTCCAATATTGTGCTAAGATTTGACAAAATGCTACACTGGCGAACTGGGTAAAGATTACATTGGATCTCACACTATCATTTCTTATAATGTATGTGACTCTACCATTATCCCCAGACAAAAAGCCTAATTTTTTTAAAAGATTTATTTATTTATTTATATAAGAACCGGGGTACAGGCCACATACACGGGAGGGTAAGAGGATTCACCAGAGACCGAGCGGGAAACAGAGCAGGCAGACTGACGAAATACACTGCTGAGGGGAGCAGCAGGCAAGACAGGAGAGGTCTGCTGCACCATGTGGGACCCTAGCTGGCTGGCCGGGATCGAACCAACGCTGAAGAGGCTGTGGACAGCTTCACGGCACGGCGCTCAACCGCCTGCGCCACCAGGGGAGGCCCAAAGCCTAATTTTTAAAAAAAGCTTTTACCTTTTAGAGAGACATATGGAAATATTTATAGGTGAAACAGCAGAAAGATCTGCTTTAAAAAAATCAGTAAGGGAATAAATGGTGGGGGAGTTGCTGGGAGGAGACAAGACTGACTTTAAACTGGTAACTATGGAAGCTAAGAGATAGACACTTAGGCTATTACACAATCCTCTACTTTTATGTTTGAAGTTACCTATAACAAAAAAGTTTAAAAAGATAGTTATGTTAAAAACAGAAAAGCATTATGCCAAGAAAAAAGAAAACATAGCAATTTAAAAAAGGATTTTTTCCTTAAAATATGTGTGTGTGTGTGTGTGTGTGTGTGTGTGTGTGTGTGTGTGTGTATGGGTATGTTCTCAGATATGTTCTTTTTTTTTTAAAGATTTATTTATTTTTATACAAGAACTGGGGTACAGGCCAGAGGCGCAGAGGATTCACCAGAGACAGAGTAGAGAGCAGAATAGGCAAATGGCCTGAAATACACTGCTGAGGGGAGCAGCGGGCAAGACAGGAGAGCTCTGCCACGCCATTTGGGTATCTCCCTGGCCGGCCGGGAATCGAACCCGCGCTACAGAGGCTGCAGACAGCTTTACAGAGCTGCGCTCAACCTTCTGGCCACCAAGGAGGCCCCCTATGTTTGTTCTTTCAAATTAATCTTATTCTCAAATTTTTAATTTCTAATTCTATGCTAAGGGATTTTGCAGTAGAAATAATACATCTCCACCCCCACCCTTACCATGCTTTCCCCTTCCTTTCAACCTCTAACGAAACTGTGGATTTTAGTTGGCACGTGGCCTCCCAGAATAAAGGCTACACATCCCAGCTCCCCCTAGCTAGGAATGGCCTCATGACTAAGGTTTAGCAAAACTGACTGATACAACTTCTGGGATATGTCCCTGGGCACACTCCTTCTTCCTACTCCCTCCTTCCTACTGTCGCAGGAAGGGCAGAGAAAGGGGCACCCCAGACCCCGCAAACCTGCCTGCTCTAAATACGTTCTGCCATCCGCCGCATCAACACAAAACATATGAGACTTTAATGGGAAGGAACTTTAATAAAACTAGGAAACAATACAGGAAAGGCAAAGAGTCTAGTTTCTAAATGAAGCACCCAAAGTTACCCGTCCCCTCGTGGGTAAAAGTCCACCCAAGCAGGATTGGCCCAGAGCAAGGCCCCAAAGCCTGCCACGAGTCTAAAGCATCTTCCAGTGGGGAAAAGTCTGGAAGGAAAAGAGCAAAATCAAAATCAAGACAAAAACCGCCATTGTCACCTCCCCACGGGTCTCACCCACATCTGTGTCACCCAGTCCACGACCAAAAGGCAAGTGTAGTTTCTTCACGTGTCTCTAGGCTCCATGTGCCTCCTCCAGGGCTCCTTCTGGCTCCATCCTGCTTCCTTCCTTCCTCAGTCTCCTCTGCAGCTTCTTCTCTCCCTGCTCAGCTCCACCCTCCCTTAGATGGGGCAGGAAACCTGGAACCTCCCCCTTTCCTGGGGACCACTGTTACACTACTTGCTGAAACACCCACACATGACGAGCCACTGTGGACCTCACAGAGATAACAACACCCAGGGGAGGGTGGAGGAACAAGAAAGGAGGAGCCTGGGACCCGACAGTCCCAAGATCAGAGGTGCCGTTATGTCAACTTCTGTCTTCTTAAGCAATTACATTATTTCTCAACTAACATAAAGCCCTAATTGCTATTATAATAAATGTATATATTAGTTTAAGAAATACTGTCTGTACTAGCCAGGAGGAGATTATATCTCATTCTTCACTTACTTTTTCCTCTAGGGTTTTGCCGTTTTCTTTGAAAAGAACGTCTTATCACAAACTGACACTCAGGTATCTAATCCTTGCTCCTGTAAGCAATCTCTCCCCAACTCCAATCCTAGGTCGCAGCAGACTGCAAGAACTTCCATATACATGTATTACATGAATAGTTTTCATGTATGACACACACAGCGCCCAAGGAGAATATGTGACTGCCACAGCCATGCAGAGCAGCTGGGCGGGGGAGGAAGGCTCACACGGTGGACAGAAGGAGCAGAATGAGCAAAGCACAGAGGCCTGGCTGTTTGGGGAAGAGCAAATGACTGGGTAGAGCCAGAAAGAATGATGGGATAAGGCTGGAGGCAGGGGTGAGGCAGGGAAAAGAGCAATACTCTGGTCCTGCTGGACCCCCAGGACTGGATCCACAACTCTGCTCTGAGTGTTGGCTGGTAACACGATTGCCTCCTCCTCTGCAAATCTGTCTGTGACCCCAGCCAGTGACTGACCAGCAGGGGGACAGGAAGCTGGCCTCCAGGCGGGACCATGGTGGGGGAGCAATTCAAGTTCCATAGCACCCCCAGGAATCAGCTGAGACCAGTTTTGCTCAGCTTCCTCCTCAGCCCCACTTTCTCTTTCTCCTGGAAGCTCCCTCAACAAACCAAGAGCCCTTGAATTCCTGTTTCAGGCTCGGCCATCAGGGGCCTAACCAAAGATGGATCAGTGTGGTCAGCCAATGGAAGATGCAGAAGGTCATGGAAGATCACAAGGAGCCCTTGGGGATTTTGTTCAAAGGTCAAAAGACTTGTGAGAAAATCACTAGGAAAATAGCAGGAACTGGGGGAAGGGAGGTGGCCTGAGGGGATAACTTGAAGAGGCGCTACCACCTTGCTCTGAGCAGAGATCGAGAACCTCAAGCAAGGTGGGGCAGCCAGATGGAAAGGAAGGGCTTCCAGAGCAGCTGCGAACCTGACAGTTTTACAGATCTAAGTGATGTAGATCGGATGTGGCGGGGGTTGTACTTGACTGCATGTACAGAAACCTCAGTGTTAGGGCTTTTAACAACTGGGATTTCTTTTTCTCACAGACCAAAAAATCCAGGGACAAGCAGACCGGGGCTGGCACAGTGGCTGAGCAGATGCAGGGTAAATGATTGTCAGGCTTTTCTGCCCGCTCACCATTAGGATTGATAATGCATCCCTGCGGTCCTGAATGCATGATAGTGGGCACCTAGAGTGGGGTGTGGGATTCACCTGGGCTGAGACTGGTCTTATAAGGGCGGCCTCACAAGGAATGGAACAGACCAGAAGAAAGGGAACAAGCAAGAGAAGGAGAACCAGCGGAGAAGCAGAGACCACCAGTACACCAGAGAGCCCAGGAAGAGTGAAGATTCACCGGGGACTAGGAGACCAGCCAGCGTCGTGCTCCATGCCTCTTCTCCCCCTCCGCACCCCTGCCTGCCGTGTACCTGGTAAACTCAATAAAAGCCTGAAAAAGTCACCGAGGGATCCAGGATTCTCCTCCTTTACCTGTCTGCTCGGGTCATAGAGATCCTGCCCTGTGTTCTTCCTTGCACTACAGCATAGAAGCCAGGAAACAGGGTGTATGTAAGTAAAGGAAATTTTCTTCTACCAGCACCTAACAGGAAGGGGAATCTGGACAGGGAATTGCTGAGTCTGGGGCCTTACCTCAGAGACATGTTATTTTTTTGTTACTGATTTCAGAAGTTGACTTATCTTCCCGTCTCCACCCAAGCCGACCTGCCATCCTTGCACCAGCTAGGTCATGAATTTCAAACTAGTTTCAGCTGTGGAACTCTTTTTATATGAAAACTCAGAATCCTAACATAATACAGATTAGATTTACTTCACTGGCCTTTAGCGGGGCTTCTCCACCTTGGCAAGACTGATATTTTGAAGTGGGTAATTCTTTGTTGTAGAGGGTGGGGCATTTAGTGGCATCCTTAGCCTCTACCCACCAGGTGCCACTGGCATCTCTGGACTTCCCTCTCCCTCCCAGTTGTGAAAATCAAGAAGATCTCCAGACATTGCAAACTATAAAATCACCCGTCTTTCCACACTGGGATAGTCATTACATATAATCAAATTCAATACCGCCTTAAAGTATTGAGGGTAATTAAACTTAATGCAAAAACTGAACATCAAGGACTGTGGGTTGAAAATTGATGATACTTACGTT